ATAATAATAACAATAATAATCATAAGAAGAAGAACAATAATAGTAAACATATTCATGATATCATGTATATTCAAGGCCCTGTTCTAACTATTCAGCCCCCCCCCCCCATGTACCACATCTCGGTCGTCAGCCACTCATCCTGGCTCCCGTCTTATCGATCCTCCAGAAATTTGGGGTATAGGGTTTAGGGGTTTAGGGTTTAGGGGTTTAGGGCATCAGATGTATACGACTATGAAAGTAGACCCGATGTAGGAGTCTGTAGGAGTAGCGGAATGCGTTGAGACCGGCTGGGTGTCGAAACCGCACCACGCTTGCACAACGCCGCTGCAGCTCTGAACTGCTAGGGCTTGAGATTTCGGGGAACCCTAAACCCTAAACCTCCGAAGCCCGAAACGTAGAACACTGGAGCAAGTTTGAGTTCGGGCAACACAAAGCGCACAGGATACTCTGAGTAGGCACATGAAGCTGCAATGCTTGTTATAGTGTAATATGGTAAGAGTAAGCTACGTACCCCAAACATTGGCTGTGAAGCACTTCAAGAATGCTCTGGGGCGCCATGTCTCACTCGGGGCTGGAGGCTCCAGGTTTCGAGGAATGAGGGTTCAGGGTTTCACATAACCCCAACAACCTCGAGGCCTATGGATAGGAAGCCATTGCAAGGGCAAGACTGAAGCTTTAGGGCTTCGGGCTTCGGGCTGTCGCAATAGATTCGACTGGGGTTAAAGGGGGCGTGTCTTACTCTGTTTTCGCGAACCCACCAAGAAAAAGTTGCAATGCAAGTGCGCAATCCCCTATGCTCTGTTTTGGAGGGAAGCTGCTAAAGGATTAAGTGTTTAGCAAGAGGCCTAAACCCTAAACCCTAAACCCCTAAACCCCTAAACCCTAAACCATAAAAACCCTAAGCCCTAAACCCTGCCTAAGCCCCAAACTCCAAAACCCCAAGAACGGATCCCCCAAAAGAACCCTGGAAGGAGCCTCTACAGGAGCCTTTTTTGGATGTCTTTGTTGTTCGTGAGGATCGAGGCTTTGGGTGCTGCGGGCTTCGGATTTAGGGTCGAGAGTTTAGGGTTTCTGGCAGGCAATGGGCTCAAGGCTCATGCTTGCAGAGTTAGGTGGTGGTTTTGAGGTACACTCTACTAGAACTCTATTGAGGAACTCTAAATCAGAGGATGACGAATTATTAAGTTCTAGAAAATTCTACAGTAGACTATAACTTCTTCATAAGGAACACTGAGGAACAGTATTACCAATGCTTCAGGCTTCGCTATGGGGCAGTTCTCTAAATCAGGGGACCGGCTTCAAAGAACCCGGAAGCAGCGGCACCCTTTCAAACAGGACCCTCTGAAAGGGACACTTATTTGAAGAACTACCCATATGGGTAGTTCTGTAAACTAGGGTCCCTTTTGGTGGTCCTTTTTGTGAGTGCCGTACTATATTGGGGACCTAAAAATGGACCCTAATGTAGAGAACTACCCATATATTACCGAGTGTGCGGCTGCTGCTTTCGCCGGGAGAGGCTGGTGACACTGACTTGGAGGTTGCCGGTTGCGAGGACACCTTCCCGGTGGTTTAGAGTTTCGGGTTTATAGGTTTTTAGGGGCTTAGAGTTTAGGGGTTTAGGGCTCAGAAGTTTAGTGGTTCGGGGTTTGGGGCTTAGGGTCTCGTACCCCAAGGGGTGACCTTAATGGTCAGAGTAGTGTTCTGGGCTACATCGTACCAGAACTTTAAAAGACAATAAAAGGATACTGTTGGTAATTGTTCCGCCCTCCGTCTTGCTTGAAGGTTCATGAGTAGTTAGGTGCAGGGTTGTGGATCCGGTTGGAAGCCGTCGTAACTATGACTTCCTTGCTTGCAGCCGATACAACTGCATGCTAAGTGCTAGACCCTGAACCCTAAACCCGAAACCCTAAGCCTTAAATCCTAATAAGCCCTACAGTAAACCTTAAACCCTAAACCTTAAACCCTATAAACCCTAAACCTTAAACCCTGGGCAGCTCACTCGACCCAAGTCTCAGCCCACATGGGATGTTGGCTCCATGTCACTTCTGTGCCGGTCTTGCTGGCGGCTGTCTTGACATCCTTGGTGTGTTACCGAGAATCTCAAACCCTGAACCCCAAAAGACCCCAAACCCTAAACATAGTAGAAGTCTAAAGTATAAATAAAATAAGCAATATGGTATAGTTTAGTACAGCAAATAGAATAGATTAGGTTTTAGAATTTTAGAGAGTGATAAGCTATTACCCTAAAGCCTAACCCCTTCCCCGGGTTCAAGGCAAGGCCCAGGTCGAAGCAGTAAACCCGGACCACAAGTAGGGGTTTCTCCGCAACTTAAAACAAAGAGGCCTACCTTTCGGGGCTTTTTTAATATAATTGAGGAGCCCTATAAACCGTTGTGTCTTTAGGGGCCCGCAGGCGGTCTTTCGGGGTTCAGGGGGCTGCTTTTTTCTATGGAGTTTAGACAAGAGAGCTAGGTCCTCACAAGAAGGACCTACGTTGGAAATCACTGAAAAGTCGCTAAGGCCAGGGTTTGGGGGGCCCGAGGCCGGGGTCTTGTTCCACTCTTGGAGACGGTTTGGGGTTTGGGGTTTAGGGGTTTAGGGTTTAGGGGTTTTAATTTAGGGTTTATGGTTAGCCCCGGGACCGGGTCCGCGGCGGACATGAGACGGCCTAGTGCGGCCTTAAGGCCATGAACAGAAATACGCCTGAGTCGGGATTCCTGTTTGTGCATGTATACTCTTCATACAGTTTCTTTGAGGCTGTATAAGTGCTTTTTTGGGCGCTTTAAACAAGACCTTTATAAGGGTCCTAATTATATTTCTGTAGGCCTTGGCGTACGCAGAGCACCCTCATTAGTGAACTCAGGGCCCCCTAAGTGAAATCCTTGGCTCAGACTCCGAGGTACCCCCAACTCACCACCCCAAGCCCTAAACCCCAAACCCTAAACCTCTGAACCATTCAGTTTAGGGTTTAGGGTTTAGGGGTCTGAACCCTGAACCCCAGAGTAGCCGTGTAGAAAAAACAAAAACCTTAGCCGGACAGAAGCGGTCTAGGGACCCTGAAACCCTAAAGCCTAAACCCTGACATGTTGAACATGTAGAAGCCTTTAATAATGACAGATACTGCTCTTCAGGGTTCATAAATATACAATACTGATTTTACAATTACAGATACTGCTCTTCAGGGTTCATGAATATATAGTATATGTTCCTAATTATTCTTACTATTGACAGGCACCTCAAAAAGAACCCTGAAACGCTGCGCTTCACACCCCACCTCGCTCTCTTCCTCGAAGTCCTTCTCATAGGAGCCTATGCCACGGGAGCCCCCGGGAGCTTCCATGCTTCGGGGAAAGGGTAAATAGGGGGAGTTCTCTAAATGTGGGTCCCTGTGTAGGAAAGCTTAAAGGGATCTATATAAGGGATCTAGAAGGGTTTCTATAGGGGGTTTCTATACGGGTACTATGAGAGTAGTTCTCTAAAGTAGGGTTTGTTTTAGGATTTTTTTAATATAAGGGTGCCGTACTATTTTAGGGACTTCAAAAGGGACCCTGATTTAGAGAACTACCCCTACGGCGGGCCGCAGGGTTTAAGGTTTAGGGTTGTAGATCAGGGTTTTGGCGGATACTATCCTGTACCTTAGAAGCTTAAAGCAAGTCGGAACCTAAGGACTAGTGTGAGTATACGTGTAAGTACGTAAGTACTTACTAGAGTTTGCCGTGCCTAGGGCTTCACTACGTCAAACCCTGAACTGTAAATCAAAAAACCCTGCACATTAGACCGTTACCTTTACGGTTTAGTGATAAACCCTGATTTACGGGCTCAGGGCTAGGTGGTTAAGGATCTGGGGTATGGGGTTCAGGGCTTAGGGTTTAAATCCTCTTGCGATCGATAACAACAACCCCCGGAGTTCAAACATTGTTGCTCGGAAAAGCTGTAGAAAGAGTTCCGCGGAAAAAAACGCTCAAAGCATGACGCCTGAAGCCTACATCCTAAAACCCGAACCCTATTTCAAACCTGACAACTAAACGTCTAAACGCCTAAACCCCAAACCCAAAACCTGAAAACTAAACCCCTACACCTAAACTGCAAACCCTAAACCTGAAAACTAAAGCCTCTTTGAGGCTTCGGGGAGTACATCGAGTCGATCTTGTTTTGTCTTGCGGCGCTGCATCTCAGAGGGGTCTTGAGCCTTGAGGCTTCCAAGGCTCAGCCCTCATCCAGATGCCGATCTCAAGAGTCCCCAAAACTACCTGTAAATAGGGCTCTATATTAAACAACGAGGGAGATGAACAGTTCTCCCAAATCCATACCTACTAATATAAATATAAGTATATATATATAAGTAAGAAATTGTAAAAACAAGGAATTCATACTTGTTCGGCGTTCTCTGATCTGCGGGGGGCCACGTCGTCTCTGAAGCCCTGCTCCGATGTCATGGTTTAAGAACCAAGAAGACAATACTCAAGGCCTGGAGTACAAAACCGACAGATTTGGGCACTATAGGCTTTAAGGTGCTTATAGGAACTAGCACGCTCACGATCTCGACAGGTACCTTTGAGGCTGAGCACTCACCACGCTCCCTCGACCCGCAGTTCTAGACTCGAAGCATTGACTTGGCTAGCTGCAAGGTCCCTAGAGCCTTCTCGGAATACACCCCCCCAAAAAACACTACACGGGGTTGTAGGTTCAGGCTTGCGCCTGCACTTTCGAAGCTGTCATCTGAATAGCCTCGCTCCTCCTGGTGAAGGTTGAGGGTTTCAGGTTAAGGTTGCTCAAGGGTTCTTTCAAGTAGCATCTCAGTTGCTATTGCTGTTGCCATCGCTTTTATAAACTGGCAGGGGCCGAAACTCACACAGCGAGCACGCAACAGCGCACAACTCGTTTTTGCAGAAAAGCAAGACTCATGTGCCTTGTGCCGAAATGGCCAAAGCGTTTGTCACAACTCTGTCGTTGCTACGGCAAGGGAACTCCAGTGCACAATCATATTGACACTGGTCTCTTTACACTTCCCTTTTGTGCTGCCTTGAGACAGCCAAGAAAAAGTCGCAGGTAACGGCTGCCCACCATGCTTCCGGCCTCATCTGCTTAGTCATGATGTCACTCAGTTGGTGCCCGCTCGGTACCCAGTGAAAAGGGATCAGCAGCGGGTCGTCCACGGCCGGTACGTCCTCACCTCGCTCGCGCTTCCACCAGCCCTTGGCCTCGTTGAGGAAGATCTGCTTCAGCGACGCCAAGTCGATGATGAGCCGTTTGTCGGCCGTGGGCTTCGGGGTGCCGCACCTGTGAACGAAGTCGAAGAGGCTCTTGCAGTCGGTGACGGCGTGGATCGGCATGAGGGCTGCCGCTTCTGGCTCCTTCACCAGTCTCCTCTTCGTCAAAGACAGCAGCCTTCCCCGCAGGTGGATTGCGCATTCCACCCCTTCACAACAGGCCATCGTCTCTCCGGCAAAGGTGGACCTGCACACTCTTTTGCAGGAGTGTGACTTCCAAGCCAGTGTGCTCATCTCGCTCGGCTTGCTTCCGATGCCGTTGTTGTGTACAGCCAGCACCAGATAGCCGATCTGTGAGCCGACTCGATGTCCCACCAGGTGCTCCACGGCATCGTCGTCGGGCTCGCTGTTCCCCCACGCCGCGTCGTGGTAGACCACCAGGCACATCTCGTTCAGAGGGATGGGCCTGATCTTGATGCCGTGCTCCTTGTAGTCCTTTGCCTGCTTGATGGCCCTGTTCGTGTCTTTCACGTCCACCATGGTGGGGCTTCCCTGCCTCGCTTGCGCAAAGTTGGCTGCGCAAGCCAGGTCCGGCCGGCTCTCCTTAGCCAACCAGCTCAGACACCCAATGGCGGTGCGATTGTCATGAAAAAGCCTTTCGTTCACGGGGTCCTGGTTGCTTCCCTTAGGGATGTCGATGTACTTCAGGCGCTCCTCCACGTAGTCCTCCTGCGTAATCTGGTACCCCTCGCCGTCTTTCTTGTAGTTGCTCCCGACGTACTTGAAGGCATCGTCTTCCCACTCGCTTATCGGGAACACCTGGCTGAGCGTGGCCTGGGTCGCCTTCTTGAGCTTCTCCTCCGTCAAGACGAGCAGGTCGTCCACGTGGGTCTCCAAGAGGCCCCTGGTGTTGCCCTGCTTGTCGACAAAGTGGAAAACACAGGGATCGATGTCGTTCTGCTCGAAGTGCAGCGTCTCCCCCTCGAGTTCCACCCTGGCTCGACCGATGTCCTGCACCAGCTTCTCAAACCAAAGTCTCGGGCTGGTCGCGAGTCCGAAGACCCCTTTTATGATCTCCACCAAGACCCCCTCCTCGACGCCTGGCAGTCCGCGAGGTGGCTGCTTGAAGTAGAGGCCACGGGGGGCCGCCACCCCGTTAAGGAATGCGGCTTGCACGTCCCCGATGCTGGCTGACCACCGGAGAGAGACTGCACACTGCATTCCCAGCATCAGGCTGTCCTTGCTAGCTGTCGGCGCGTCGACGCTGAGCGGCCGTGTTCCCAAGTCTGGGTCCCGATGGCCGCCCACGCATAGGCGAGCCTTGGCCTTCACCGGCAGCTCGGGGTTTAGCGCTCTCTGGGACCTGGCTTTGTCCTTGTACGCAAACCTCGAAGTGAGTATGCGTTCTGGGGGAATCTCGGCATAGACCCGCTCGGTCTCCTCTTTGGACAGCACCCTCACCGCCTCGAACTTCAAGTGCTCGTTCCATTGCTTAGCCTCTGCGGCCTCGAAGGCGGGGCGGTCACCAGGGTCTATGGAAGACCAAGGGATTTCGCTCTCCATCTGCTTCTCTCGGCTGGCTTGCGTGGAGGCAACCTTGCCGAAGAAAACCTCGCGCTCCACCGGCTCTGTTTCGTTCATGCCCTCGTCGTTGGCTTCTTCTGCGGTCTGGCTTGTTCTGGCTTTCTTCGCCCTCCCTCGGGCCACGGGGCAATGGGGCAAGTCATCTAGGCATCGCCGTCGTCGTTCTGCTCCGTCGTCCCAGTCCATGTTCTCCATCTCCACGAACTTCTCCTGGAAGGCCTCCCCCTCTCCGCTCAGGAGCTCCTCCGCGATGTCGTGGTGGTCCCCGGGGCCGTCCTTGTTGCCGTCGGGAATCAGCTCCTCGTCTTCGGGCGCAAAGGCAGCGCGCAGGTCCTTATCCTCGTCGATGATCGCCTGCACGTCGTCCATTGCAGCCCTCACCCGCAGCAGCTCGGAGATCTCCTCGGCCTCCGCGGGTCGGAGGTGCTCCGGTGCACATAGCAAACACCTCCCCCCCTTGGATACCCAAAGGTTCTGCCCTTCATTCCCTATCACCGTGCAGGGTCCGACCCACATCTTCACTGCTTTCTTGTCCTTCTCAGGGCGCTTCTGGCGAAAGATAAAGACCAAATCGCCCGGCTCGTAGTGGGTCTTCTTCACGCGGCTCCGGTGCAACAACGCCCTCTGCATTGCTTGGTCCGTCTGCACCTTCATGAAGGCAATGCGCGCCGCCTGTCGGATGGCGTTCTGCCTCTGCATCCGCGCGTCCACCGTGTAGTGTCTCATGGCGGCCAGGTTGTGCTGGTCGTCGAAGACATCGCCTGGCATTCGCGGGTTGGCCCCGAACACCCATTGCCTTGGGCTGTACCCGTCCTTGTTGCGGAGCTGGTTCTTCGCGTTCGAGACCTCGGCCACGGCCCATGCCACCTCCTGCTCCACTATCATCGCGCTGTCCACGGTCCTCTCCCAGATGCTCTTCCAAGCTCCGTTGTGTCGTTCCACCAGCCCGTGTTGCCAGTGGGCCGTGCCGGCGGCATGTGACATGAAGGACCCGAACTCATAGCACATTTCATCGAAGACGCTCTTGAAACCAGAGTCGAGGTCGAGGGCAAAGGTATGGGGCGGCCCGGCCCAAGAGACCCAATGATCTCGAACCGTCTCTGCGAGCGTCTTGGCCGTCCTGTCTTTGACGGGCACCACGACCTGGTACGTTGACGCATAGTCCACCATGCTCAGCGCCACGTGGCTCTGATGCAGCGAGTCCTTCCTGAAGATCAAGTCGAGTCCCAGCACTTCGTTGAAGTCTAGTGCGGGCACCGGCTTGGAAAGTCTCGCGGAATAGGGCCTATAGCACATCCTTGGCATGTCCTGCACCTGAGCGTCTTGCAAGCTTTCACTGCTTCGCTGCTGCCCCCAGACAGCCGGATGTGCCTGGCGAGCTCGCTGTTCGGTGGGTGCCCGAGGTTCTGGTGCAGCTTGCGAAGAGCCCCCTGCACTGCTGGAGGCACCCTTGGGTCAAAGGTTATGCACCGTGCCCCGGCCTCGCGTAGTTCTGGCTCATCTCCCGGTTCGTCTTCAAAGTTTGGCTGCTTTGCCTCCACGGCCCAGGCTTCATGGTGCTCCTTGCTGCCGCGCTTCTTCGCTCCTTCGAGCACCTTCAAGAAGAACTCCTCCCGAGGGGTGTTGCCTTCTTCGGCCCTCGCCGCGGCAAAGCTTCCGGAGAGAATGGCTCGCATCTTGGTCCCCTTCTCCTGGTCCACATAGAAGGCGACCTGGTGTTGCCAAAGGTTCTCCCACTTCTTCACGGACGGGGCTTCCCAGATCGTGCTCGTCGCCGGGTGTGCGAACACAGCTCCCTTTTCGCATGCCGCTTGGTTCTCCAGAGCCTCCAGGACCTGATTAAGTAGACGTCGGTCGTTCTTCATCTTCTCCTTGCGTTGCTTGTAGTTCTTTCCCTTGCTCGGGGCCCACGGTTCTAGCGGGAGCTCCGCCCACATCAGGCTCGGACCCGCTAGTGCTGCGGCGTCCGGGTCCCATCCAGCGAGTTGGCCGTCATCGTTCGCCCTGTGGTCGGCAATGGTCTGCACCCCGACCTCGGCAGCCAGGTCCTTGTAGCTCGGGGGGACACCGATGAGGTACAAGGTGAACTGCTCCTGTTCTCCGCTCGTCCCCGTCCCGGGCCCTCGGGCTTCCGCGGCTGTGTCCTGGCGCGCCTTCTTGTAGACGCTGTGGCTGGTCTCCAGGACCCGCTTGAGCCGCTTGGCCTGCTTCTTGAGGTTCTCCTTGACCGGGCCTTCCAGGAGGAACGCGCTCACTGATGGTGTCCTGGGGGCCTTTCGTCCCATCGGCTGGCTTTCGGTCCGCTCGCCTCTCTTGCCTTCTTGGCCTTCTCGTCGTCCTCCATCTTCGCCGCCAGCTCCTGGAGCGCCTCCATGCGGGCCTTCAGCTCGTTCAACTCGTGCTGGATGTTCTCCTTGGTCATGGGGTCCCGGCGTCTCCGCGGGCTCGGTGTCCTGTTCGCCGGCGTCTCGGGGTAGACTTCGATCCACTCGTTGGGGTTCCTGCTGCTGCTTGCCCTCGCCGGTGAGCTCGCTGCGGCCACCGGCGGTGGCGGGACCGAGGCCGTCTTCTCGGGGTCGTCGGCCGGCAGTCCCGGTGCCTTCTGCTTCCCTGTCTTGGTGCCCTTTTTCTCGTCCCACCAGCGGGCCAGCCTCGCCAGGTCGTCGCTGCAATTGGCCGAGGTCTGCCACTCGTTCAGGGCCCAGTCCAGGTACTGCACGGGCACCTGGTTGTATGCCCACCCCCGGTAGCGTCCGAAGGCCAGCACCGTGTCGTTCGGGGCTGCCTTTGAATCCCGGATCATCTTGGTGAGGACGCCCTTGGTCGGCTTCTCGGGAAGCACCAGCCCACACTTGCGGGCCTCTTCCAGCAGCTGCTGCATGGTCATCTTGGCGAGCCCCTTGGGGACCTGCCCCTCGCCGCTCGCCCTCGCGACCCTCTGCTCCTTGACCATCTCCCGCACCTCGTTGATATTCCAGTCGGGGTGGGCCACCACCTCGTACTCCGCCAGCTCGCTCACCAAGGCGCTCTTGTTCATGCTCCATAGCGCTGCCCGCGACGACATTCACTTCAAGAGCGGGGGTTGTCTCCACGGGGCTTCTGCGCAGTCGCTGAAAGATGCTGCGGCCAATCCACAACGCATTCGGCTGCGCCCTTGCTGCTTGCGACTGCCATGAACGAACTTCTCGTGATAACAGCTGGGGGCCTCTGCACGGTATCCTCTCTTCCACGACTTCTTTGCCCAGGGCCCTCAGCAACTGTTCCTTCAGCTCGCTCTGCTCTGTCTGCCATCCCTCGGGGGAGAAAGGGTACTTGCGAGGGACCACGTGCACGCGGATGAGCGTCGCGTCGCGCTCCACCCAAAAGTCTCTCTGTATTTTGCACCCCATCCACCAACCCAGGAAAGTCTCGACATTCAGCGTGCTGTGCGCGAGCATGTCTTCAATCGCGGGCGGCAAGCGCTTAGCGTAGAAAATTCTCTCAAGTTTCGCCTCGCCCTCTCTGTCTGGGGTTGCGCTGCAGGAAGCCATGTATGCTCGAGCTCCAGTGTCCAGGTCGCTGTGCCATATCCCGGGCTCGCGGCCCTCGTGTTTGACGATGTGCCAGGGCAGCCTTGGGGCTTTGCCGTGGCCTTCTGGGAACACTGCCACCGCAGGGTGCTTGCCCTGCGCCTGTACAAGAGGGACCCCCGTGGCTCGAAGCGAACAGAGGTCCACCGACTCCTTGCCGAGGTCAATCCTCGCCCCAAGCTTCTTCATAGCCGGCCTTCCCACCAAGAAGGGCACGTCGCAGGCCACCACGCTGACCCGAATGGCCACCCAGCTCCCGCCCAAGCAGACCGGCAGCCAGGCAGCAAAGTCTGCACGATACACCCGGGAGGCCCCAAACTTGAAGCTCTCGCTGTCATCCTCGAAAACGTACTCAACGCCCCTTGCCTCGGCCTCGGCCATGTAGCGCTCGAACCAGGGATAGCCAGCCACCGAGCTCGCGCACCCCGTGTCGATGATGGCCAGGGGTCCTTGGTCTCTGTCCTTGGTCGCCGCCAGCACCTCGACGACGAAAACCCCGTGCACCTGGGTGAAATTCGCTGTCTTCGGCGTCTTGTTGAGCGGGCACTCAGGGTCTTTGTGCCAGTGCCCCTTCTTCTTGCAGGCGCTGCAAAAACTGCGCTCCTTAGCCAGTTTCAGCCTGGCCGCTGCCTTGGCCCGGGCTTGCTCGTCAGAGAAGCCGCGCCCCTTCACCGCCTCCCTGTATTTGGATTTGGCGTTGAGGTGCGCCAGGCAGGTGTCATGCAGCTCCTGCGCGGTTTCCTCGCTAACCACGCATGCTCCATCGTCTTCCCCCTCGCCGGCCTCCAGGTCGAAGTCGCTCTCGCTGTCCGAGGGGTCGTTGCCTGTGAGGTGCACTCCCTTGGCTTTGTGCCGCGCGGCCTTGGATTCCTCCCACGGTTTGCGTGAAGAACGGTCGTGTATCAAGGCTGCTTCCTGAAGGACCTTGAGCTTGTACTCGTTGCGCACCGATGCCAGCAGCGATATTTCGCCCGCCTCGTCGAGGCGCAGCTTGTCTATAAACATCCAGGCCAGAACGTTCTCCGGAAGCGTCACCTGTACCTCGGTCAACCGAGCCACCATCCTGTCGAAGTCCCCGGTGAAGCTTCGCACGCTCTGGTCGCTGCCGCGGCGCAGCACCCTGAAAAACTGACTCATGATGCGGCCCACCTGCGTGACTTCTATGTCCATGAACCGCTCGCGGATCCAGGCCTTGAAATATGCCACACCAGACGTCGAGCTCAGCCTGTCCAAGTCCAAGGCCTCTGCCTCGACCCACGCGCGCTCCTTCAAGGCAGAATATAAGGCCACACCGCGGTGATGCTCAGGAAGCCTTGTGACTCGCTCCCAGGCCTCCACCTTCCTCAGGTACGACCGGGCCGCGCTGCCGATCTCGCCCTCCTCGCCTGCATGCCCGGCAAAGCTGGGCACCGGTATCTTCTCAGTCGGCTTGTCGCTGTGCTCTCCGGCGCCGCTGCCCAACTCGAACATGCCACTGCTCCTTCTCCGCTTCGCTGCGCTACTGCCCACGGATCTTCCTCTTCCTTCGTTGCTTCCAGCCATCGTCCGCGGGACTGCTCGTGCCCGCGTTGCCACCAGCTGGCTTTGCCCCATCCGTGGTCGCCTCGGCCTTGGCTATAGCGGCTCCACTTCCCCTGGGCCGCCGAGTCTTGACTGCATCGCTCGTCCCCGTCGGGCCACCAATCCTCAGATTCGCGGTCCTCAGCGCGATCCAGAAGAAATTCCCAAATCTCTTCTTCAGACCACCCCTGTTGCGCCCATTGTGCTGCACACTGTGCCCACCAAGGCAGTTCCTCTCTGTCGCCCTCGGGGGCGCCTTGCTCACGCTCTGGGGTCCGGGCGGACCATGTCTCCTCATCGTGCTGTAGGCCACTGCCAGCACCAACGCCCATAGCATCGCCTGTCCCCTGGGGCAGGCCAAAGCTTGCCCAATGTTCATCGTCGCCCATGGCTAGCGAGAAGGAGCCCGGGCTCCGCTGCCAATATAAACTGGCAGGGGCCGAAACTCACACAGCGAGCACGCAACAGCGCACAACTCGTTTTTGCAGAAAAGCAAGACTCATGTGCCTTGTGCCGAAATGGCCAAAGCGTTTGTCACAACTCTGTCGTTGCTACGGCAAGGGAACTCCAGTGCACAATCATATTGACAGCTTTAATTGCTTCTATATTTTACGGACTAGAGAGAGTCCAGGCCTCCTGGAGGGGCGCGCGCGCAACGCACTCTGAGGACCCCGGTAGTATCCCGAATCTACGCTTGACAAGAATCAACATTGAACTTCATGATCCAAGAAATTTAGTTGGCAGGGAGAGGCTCAAAGCCAGCTCAGTGAAGAGGAGGAGTTGGCTTCAATTGCCAGACTTCAGCGTCATTGGATAACTTTAAGGACTATTTCCCGGAAACTGGGCTTGATAGGACTGATAGGATTTCATGAGTTTCATAACGGGCTCGAGACTTGAGAGGAGTGAAGCGTGCTGCGGGCCTCGCTATGCTGTGCAGATCGTGGGTTCCGCAGTCAGCCGCCTCAATATTCCTCCTAAAACCTATAAACCCTAAACCGTAACACTGGCACCTATGAGCAGTAAGCAGCCCGCAAAGCACCGGAACCCTGAAAACCGCAAACCCTAGATAGCGTACTATCCCAGAGACTGTCTGCAAAGAAAGAACCATCAGCCAACACTTGTTTAAGTCTATGAGTCTATGAAGCTTCAAACAACCACAAAAGAAAGACACGCTTGATCCCCCTAAGGATCCTTGTTCAGAAGCCTTCAAGACTCAGTGAAATTGAAGTCTCCAGCATCACCACTGAACCCGAAACCCCAAAAAATAACCGAATCCTGTCCGTAGGCTCCTAAGTAGTTCCCTTTTATGGTTCATATTTAGAATCCTATAAGGTAATCCCCCAAAAGGAGCTACTAAGGGACATATGGGTACAGAGGTGCCTCGTCGATCGGCTCCGGTCGCGTTGGCGCTGTCCCGGTGTCTTCCGTCTGAACCCAAGCCAGCCTCCGTCGGATCTTCAGGGCTTCAGGGCCCTTTTGGGGCTTAGGGTTTTGGGGTTTAGGGTTTAGGGGTTTTAGGGTTTAGGGTTTAGGGTTTGTGGGGGTTGGGGTTTAGGGCTTAGGGCTTAGGGTTCAGGGAATTAAGGGCTTCGGGTCTTGGGGGGCTTGTAACCAAAAGTGCGCTTGTGAGCAAAAGCCCCAATCTTAAACCAGAAAATGGTTTGGGGGCCGGTCCCTGCACGCCTACGGTCCGTCCGAGTGCCCCCGAAGCCGTAAACCATAGCTACACTGTCGCTTGCAAGGAAGCAAGGTAACCAAAAAATATATGACATCCCGTGGAGAGTATACCCTGGAGTACTAAACCCTTTTGGACCTCAGCGCCCGCAACGTGGTAAAAAAACGTGGCCCTGCATCCTAAATAAGAACCACCGCCAGACTTCTCAGCCCTAAGCCTTCAACCAATTAACCCGTCAAGTCTTTCTGACTCCCCCGATTTAGGGTTTAGGGTTTAGGGTTTAGGGAGCCATGAACCTGCAACTCCTATAAACCCTCCATCCCAGACCCTGACCCTGACGCTCGAAATGTGACATGTCCCTCTCCAAGAGGCTATCCTTAAAGAGACAAACTCCCTAAACCCTATCATCACCCTAGAAACCCCAGAAGCCCTGTAGAACCCCACTGACCCTGTCCCTAGACCCTAAACCCTAAACCCCACTACACCCTAAACCCTACATAAACCCTAAACCCTAAACCCGATTAACCCAAGAAAACAAAAAACCCAAAAGCCCTGACTGTAGCAGCTTTGGGTACCGGGCTTCCGGTGCGGCAGACGCCGATCCCTCTCCTGGCAGCACGGCGACTCTAACGGCGTTCGGTACGGGCTTCGGGTTTAGGGTATAGGACGTAGTTAATATAGGATTTAGAGGTCTCGGGCCTTTTTTTAAATCATAAGGCTGTACATGGGTTCTAGATTCTAACCGGTCTTTGCAAGGACCTGTACAAGAGAGTTCTACAAGGATTTACAGGGCTTGGGAATTTCAGGATTTTTTTTTGAGGGGGGGGTTCCTAAGCTCCAAGCCACAGGGAGCTTCAGGGTTTGGGTTCCGGAGGCACTTTGCCGACCCCCAGGGAGGAGTCCCCGGAATTGCGCGATTTATCGTCTGAGTTGCTCGCTGCGCGATTTTTAGCTGAAGGGGCTGGGGCTTTGTAGGGTTTGGGGTTTAGGGAAGTTTAGGGTGTTTAGGGATGTTGGGGGCGCCATGGGGTGCTGTTTGTGGCTCGGGCCTATCGGAGATCTTAGGCGTCCTCTCTTCTACGCCGTTTACCCCCCACCGACTTTGGCACCCAAAGACTCCGAAACCCCGTTTGGTAGGGAATATGCTCTTAACTATCAAAAGGACCTTGAAGCCCAAAAAACCCTGATGCTCAAGTCCCGAAGCTCTAAACTTAAGCCTACCCACGTCTAGATCCGGAGAATTCTCAAGCAAGCCCAGCCTCTAAACCCGGAAACTCATCGCAGACAGTCAAGGTTCGATATCAGCAAATTACCATGCGAAAGGTTGGTCTTCGTGTAGGGCTTAGGGTTTAGGGTTAAGGTTTACCGCATAGGCCCCTAAGTAGTTCCGTTTTGGGAGTACCTTAAATTATAGGATTCTAAATATAAACCATGAAAAAGGAACTACTTAGGGGCCTACTATGGGTAGGGTTTAGGGAAGTTTAGGGTTTAGGGATCCTTTCCCCCCCATAAGGCGCACTTAGGACCCGGAGGGCATGGACTTTCGACAGCCTCCTCCAGCGTGGCGAGCAGTCGGCTCCGCTCATTGTCGCCTGGATGCAGCAGATCTGAGGGCTTGTGAGGATTAGTGTTTAGGGATTTGCGTTTTGTGCTATTCCTACCACCCTAAACCCTGAACCCTAAGCCAATAAACCCTAAACCCGAAAGAGGGGTTTGCCCCCATTCCCAACGGGTTGAAACCCTCAAACGCTGAAGCCTTATTTAAAACGCTAATTGCTACATCCCAAATTCCGAACCCTACAATCATACCCGAAACCCAAACCCTAAAATCTTCGACGCCGGAACTCTAGACCCTTTCATGGCTGGCAGCAGAACATCAAGCCCTTAACACTCCGTCTAGCACTCACAGACACAGAACACGAACACCTATAAAGCAGCATGAATCAGCAGAATTTACGTAAATGAAGTGATAAACCTCCCTAAAGCCCAAAACCCTAATAAACCCTAAACCCTAATCCCTACAGCCCTAAAGCCCTAAACCCTAAACCCTAAACTCTAAAGCCCTAAAGCCCTAAAGCCCTAAAGCCCTAAACCCGAAAGCCTAGACCCTAAAGCTCAACCACAGAACAGCTCGGCAGCCCGGCGCTTCGCCCGCCGAGCTTCCGAAAGCTCGCGAAGTCGCTCTAGGCGACAGCGCTCCTTTAGGGTTTCGGGTCTAGGGTTTAGGGCTTAGGGTCTAGGGTCTAGGGTTTAGGCAAGCAACGATGCCCGGAAACACAAACTTGGGGCTTGGGGCTGTAGGGGCTTTAGGGCTTTAGGGCTTAGGGGTTTAGGGTTTGGGGGTTTAGGGGTTTAGGGGTTTAGGGTGACGCCCGAAACACAAGCACGCATTATTGGTACACGCAGTAATATTATGATTATGATTATTATTGTTATTGTTATTATTACTATTATATTTATTATGATTACCATTATTACTATCAGTATTAATACTATTATTGTCATCATTATTACTATTATTATTGTTGCTACATACATACATGCATACATACATACATACATACATACATACATGCATACATACATACATACCTACGTACGTATGTATGTATGTATGTATGTATGTATGTATGTATATGTGCAACGATGCCCGAAGCAATGAGTGGCCCCACGTTGTTAAGTGCTACGGTTTCTAGTCTGGAACGAAAAAATCTGGGTATGACAAACATAAGTAGATATATACATAGTGACAATAACAACAACGATGATCATGAAATTTTACCAACAAGAGAATGGGCATGATCATATGAACATCATAAAAATACTGGCAGCAGCAGCAGCAGCAACAACAACAACAGCAACAGCAGCAGCAGCAACAACAACAACAACAGCAACAGCAACAACAACAACAACACCACCAACACCAACACTACAAGCACTACTAACATGATTAACAAAAATGATCACATTCATAGCTTATAGTTATAAAACGAATAACACCCAATATCCATAATCATAACAACAGCAATGTATGCGTTTTCGGGAGTTCTGTGATGTGCCAAGAAATCCAACCCCTGTAAGCCATACGTTGCCCGACATCTCTCAGTCTCAGTCAGCCCCTAGATATCTACATCCTTGTTCCTTTCCCATGTAGTCTGTGGAGATGGCCGGTTAGGTTTCAGGGCTTCAGAGATTTGGGATGCCATCCTGCGAAGCGGAGCAAGGTCACCAAGCGAACTTCTGCGGGCCTCTTACGTAGATGTATTTAGGGACGAAAAAGGGGGTACACTACTATTGCTACTTATTCCGGCCCACAAATTAACCACCAAAGTCCTAAAGGCTTTAGGTGTTCTCAAACCACAATTAATGGTGAACCCTCACAGCCTGAACCCAAAATCGCCAAACAAGGAAGCACCTGGCGGATCTTTGCCTCACTTTGCCGGTGATACTCCTCCTGCAATGGACTTTAGGGTTTAGGCTGTTAGGGTCTTGAGTTCAGGCAATGGGCATGCGGTCTTACAGAAGCAAGGATTGTTGGAATCAACTTGTTCAAACTGCCCTTATCCCCTTCCTTGCGCTCCTACCTCCAAA